GAATTAGTGTGGATTAATTAAGGGGTATGGATTAATTAAGGGGTATGGATTAATTAAGGGGTATGGTTTAATTAGGGAGTGTGGATTAATTAAAGAAAACCTTTAACATTTTTTACAGGTTTTTTTTTTTTGGGGGGGGTGGGGTGCCAAGCACAGGATCCGCCCCGGGTGCCAAATGCTCTAGGTACGCCCCTGGTTGTAGTAAAGAAAGACTTAAGCAAATATGAAGCCTCATGTCATGTTATAAAATTAGTTTAGTTTAAAATGACCTATGTTTCATAAAACCACACTTTGCTCCTTAAGTACTCATGGGTGAATACATCAGGCCCAGGAACTTTGCTTACTTTAACTTTCTTTAGCTGCTGTAGCACCTTGTCTTGAATCATCCAATCACAATGTTTCTGCAAGTTTTTTGCAGCAATCATATGTAACAGACTCTCCTTAATCCCTATGTATTTTTAAACAAATGGAGGTTTTTTAGTTACCTCCAATGGCCATGAGAGGATGAGCCCACCTGCCAACGTCAAGGCAGACCCCCCTACGTGGGTCCTAACTCTAACCATTCACCTTGCTTCCTTGAGCCTCTGGCAAAAATCTCTAATAAGACAGAAAGGGGTATTTTTTATACACACCTCTATATATTATTAACCCTTAATAAGGAACACATGGGATGGGTGGCTGCATTGTAACAAGGCTTGTTACAATGCAGCCGCCCATCCCATGTGTTCCCTATTAAGGGTTAATAATATATAGGGGTGTATATAATATATAGGGATGTATATAAAAAATACCCCCTTCTGTCTCATTAGAGATTTTTGCCAGAGGCTCAAGGAAGCAAGGTGAATGGTTAGAATTAGGACTGTGTTTAACATTAGCCAGGAACTGCATTGTTATTTCTGCTGTTATATGTCTATCTCTTTAACCACAATACAGTGTGTATTTCCATGTCTGTAGTTATTTCATGTCTCTGAGTTATTAAGTGGAGGGTACTCATCTACTCAGTGGGTTGGGTTCCCCATAAATAGAAGTTGCACTGAGTGGAGGCACTGCATCAGAACAAGATGTCCCGATCTCCAAACTATAGCGGAGGCTCAGGATCCCTGTCAGTGACAGAAGAAGGTGTAACTGCTGCTAGCTACGGCTTGTTGCCAGGAGCAGGGCAAAAATGTGTTACACATACATACAATAAAAGCTAAAAAAAAAGAGTTACTTGCACACTATCCCAAATTCCTATGCACATTTAAATAACTGGAGGTATTTAGTATCACTGCAATGGTCATTTAAGTGTAAGTCAAGGCATTAACAATTCACCAAGCTTCTACATTAACAATTCACCAAGCTTCTTTCAACTTCAAGTAAAACATCTCTGATATGACAGAGAGGGGTGTTTTTCAAAACCCCTGCTTACTAATTAACCCCTTAAGGATGCATGACGGACCAGGAGTCAGAGCGATCACACTTGCTGCAGTGAAACCCAATCTGCCTCCCTGCACCTCCGTGTTCGCTGTGAAGTGCAGAGAGACAGATTGGTGCTGATCTGTCTCTCACTGTGAAGAAAAACAAGCTAATTGTAAATTCCCCCCCACACCTTTTCAAATAAAATTTAACTCCTTCCCTGCCCTTTGATCACTGTCTGCAGAGATCAAAATACGGATTACAGTATTTCACTGTGATTTGATTTTTTTTAACTTCTGAGGGTTAACTTTTATTTATTTTTTAACCCTCAGGGATTACATTTATTTATTTAGTTACTTAAATATTTGTAAAATATTTATTTATTTAGCTAGGTTGGGTAGACGTTAGTGGAAAAATAGGGGATTTACAGTTAGGCTAGTTAGGGGTTAACGGTAAAAAAAGTTCTTAAAAAGTAAAAAAAAAAAACTTTAAAAAAGCTTTAAAAAGGGAAAAAAACTACAAGCTAGTTGAAAAATTACCCCACGCTAAGGTTCAAAATATGCCTTTTGAAACACCCTGGGGTGTCTTCTTGTCAGGATTACTATATGATCCAGCACGTAGAATTGTGTAATACAGATGACTAATAGGTAACGTATTACCAGGCCTTAGAATGGCCGGACTACATTCCAAAGAATAGTCAGGGTGCTAGCCGAGGTCAGGGGACACAGATAGGGACACAACGATAAAGGAAAGCCAGAGGTGAGGGATACCAGAAATACAGGGAAGTCAAAATCAAAGCCAAAGTCAAAAACCAGAAGAAACGTGAATCAGGAACGAGCTCTTGGACAACCACTAGGGAAACCATGACAGGGCAATGAGGAAAGGTAATTCTAGGATTCTATACCTGCTTTACCTCTACGATTGGTCGGGATCGCTCTGTGGCCCCAAAACGTGCGCACGCGGTGCGTGCGTGATGTCACATGCACGCTAACGTCGTTGTTCATGTGAGCGTACATAGGGGTGTAACTGTTCGTGGATCCGCAGCGGCCGGCATCCATTAACATGTTGCAAGTGTTAGTCATGCAGATGCACGGCTTCTGACTGAAAGGTGAGGAAGAATATGTTACATTACCCCCCACCTGAAGACCGCCCACCGGGCAGGCAGGACCAGGCTTAAGGGGGAATTTAGCATGAAAATAGCGAATCTTGCAGCCAGCGTGTATATCAGAGGCCGGGTCCCAAGAGCGGTTGGCAGGTCCATAACCCTTCCAATCTACTAAGTACTACAAAGTGCCTCGAAAAAAATTGGAATTATGGAAGGGACCTCATACTCCTCTTGTCCAGAAACAACTAAGGGAGGAGGGGGGACACTTGAGACAGTATATTTATTGCAAATAAGAGGGTTGAGTAAAGAGACATGAAAGGTATTAGGAATTATTAAGGAGGCCGGAAGGGCCAGAGAGTAAGAAACAGGATTGAGTCTTCGAAGGATACGAAAAGGCCCAAGGAACCTAGGAGCAAATTTCATGCTAGGGACTTTAAGTCTGATGTTGCGTGAAGATAATCAAACCCTCTCACCTACTTAATGCTTGAAATGGTCAGCAGAAGTCTCCAGGATGGAGTGAACTTTGACCCAGGTATCACGAATAGAAGCAAGATGGTCATCCAAAGCAGGAATAGCAGTGTCAGAAAAAACAGCCGGGAGACAGTAGGATGCCGGCCATTATTAACAAAAAACGGGCTATGTCCTGAGGAGTCATGGTCAGCATTGTTCCTAGCAAACTCGGCCCATGGTAGTAATTCGGACCAATTGTCTTGAGTGATGAAACAATGCATATATAATTCCAAAGACTGGTTAGTCCTTTCAGCCGTAAAATTAGTCTGGGGGTGGTAAGAGGATAAAAAAGACAATTCAAACCCCCAATTGCTTATTGAAAGCCTTCCAGAACCGGGATACAAACAGAACCTCGATCAGACACAATATTGTGAGGAATGCCATGCAAACGGACAATCTCCTGTATAAAGATCAGCACCAGGTCTTGTTATGACGGCAATTTTTTAAGTGGAACGAAATCAGCCATTTTAGAAAAATAGTCAACAACTATGAGAATATTGGTATAACCATTAGAACTAGGAAGATCGACAATGAAATCCATGGACAAGTGGGACCATGGAACCTCAGGAATGAGGAGATGTTGCAACAAGCCACAAGGGAGTTTATGAGGTACTTTAGAAACCGCACAAACAGAACAGGCCTGCACATACTCCTTAACATCCTTTCTGAAGGGAATTCTACTAAAATCTCATAATAGCGGATGTGGATTTATTAATTCCTGGGTGTCCAGCAGTCACATTGTTATGGAACACTTTCATGACATTTACCCTTTCACCCAATGTAATGAATAGTCTGTCTCATGGTTTACTGCAGGGTGCCTGAGACTGATCATCCATGATGGTGCCAAGCAGTGGAGAAGACAAATAAAGGACGGTAGAAGCAATTATACATTCAGGG